AGAACTGGTTTTCTTGCGCAGAGAACCTTGTGGACTAAATGTCTTCTATTTCTGTCTCTGGTCGCGTTTCGAAATGTCCCCTATTTTAACGTGCATTTCAAATGCCCTTTAAAATCACTGAATTGGGCAGGTCAGTGTGTGCATGTTGCAGATATCTGCCATCTATTGCAGCATTTGCAAGCGAACTATGGCAAGAAGTAAGACATGTGGCATTTGCTTTCCCCCTTGGCCTGGCTGGTAGGCATTCCGGACACAAGTATGTACAGACACGTTGAGGTTCTTTGGAACCTCAATCGATCGATCGAGTGCGGAAAAAACAAAAAAACCCTAATCTGACAAGCCTAATATATCTCCACGCCCTACCCTAAGCTTCGAACATATAAACCCTACAGCTGTCCCTAATTTAATTGAGTGGTGATTCTTGGTTGCGCGGCTTCTGGACGTGGAAACGGCCTTCGGAAAGATATAATATAGTAAAACCTCAAGAGCATTCGCCTCTGTATATCACCTTAAGTTACGCATTAAACCAAAACCCTAAACCCGAAAAGGTCTATGATCAGCTTGAATATAGGGTACATGCACCATATGGCGCGCACCGACTCCTCCGACTTGCGCCAGCTCAGAGCATACCGTGGAGAGCTTTGTATTTCCCGTGTACTTACACAAATTTACCTCGTAAAGTCTGGGAAACGCACACACGCAGGCTGCTGTGATGTAGCTTTATAGCTTTGAACCCTCAAGACACAACCGCAAACACAATCTCGAAGAAAGCCTCGAGCTTAATCTTACGATTAGATGTATAAATGTCTACCATTCGGAAAAAGAATATCAGCGAATATGTACATGTGCCGATCCATGTGCTACTGCGGCTGCCAGCAATGCTGGCCCTGCCGGCTGAAGGGTTCGAGGCAGGACAGGGCGAAATATGGGCCTTAACTTAAAACGTGATCGTACAATCTGTGAAGTAACGCAGGGAGCTCCATGCCGACTGGTTTTCCTGGGCCATACCGGCCGAGAATCTGCCAGTTGGTCGATCGTGGTGAATCATCGAGTGCCCCAGGGGTGCTTTGCAAAGGTTTTTGGCCGCAGTATTGCTGTTTGCCTGATGCATGCCTATACATGTGCACTACAGTCTATGGTATTAGTGGCTTCTGCTGCTTGATGTGCTCAATACAAGGGTTTACTTTTGCTGGTAGTTTTAGTGGCCATGGCGGATTCAAAGCTTCCTGAGAAGGTGCATTTTGCACCATGCAAGGAGGCTGCAAGGATTGGGCGCGAGCTAGCCAAAGAGGCAAGCCTGAACCATGTTCCCAGCTAGCATTATATCTACCATGTATATGCACACCAGTCACATGTTTTCGTGCTTCCCGAACATCTAAGGTGGGTGTGAACATCGTTACAGACACGTCCCCGAATGGAAAATTGATGAAGAATCGCAAATATGTCACACGCAAAGATGTGATTGCAAACCCGCGAGTTCCTTACTTCGCACTCTGGTATCGTAGGCCTCCATAATGTATATGTAAACCCTTAAAAGAAAAGCACCCACCCTATAAGACTACATCACCCTAAATACGTAAACCCTCTGCTGCTCAGGTGATCGCTGCAGTCGTCCGGGGCACCTCAAAAAACCGGGCCAGGCTTTCGGCTTATGTGCTGAATGATGCGATACTACACCTCTTTAATGAAACCCGGCGTTTGCCACGTGGAGTCACAATTGCAACTCCAGCAGTTGTGGAATATGCTACAAGAGCTGCCAATGCTCTACGCAAGCTGGATCCTGGAAGCAATCTGAAGAGTCATACTGTCATGCAAGTAGAAGCCATAGATCTTTAGCACATTGTCCAATACTTAGGTTAGCAAATTCAAAGAGCTGGCTCGACGATCGGAGAGCGCACGGCACTCTGTTCTTTACGACTTGAAGAAAGAGCTCAAAGATTATGGCTTTTACAAAGTCCCCGAGCCGGCCGAGCCGGATGAGGAGGACTTTTAGTTCGGGTTTAGGATTTAGGGTTTAGGGCAACAACTAGAGTGCATACTGCTTTGGCTGAGCAGCAACCGTTACAAACACAATTCTGGTTGTAAAGCTCTGCAAGGAGCCAGTGGATGAAGATGATGCCGAGGCCGAGGAGTGCGAGGCTGGCGATCACGATGAGGAAGAGAGCCTTCGAGCACTTTCTTCAAATGAACATTTGGAGGATGTTTCTTGCCTGTCATGCTATATAGGCTAGATAGGGTGATGCTTGCAATGTCATTTGAACCTCGGTTTCAGTTCCCAAAAGCCACAATACTTCAGGATGTCTTGGAAGATGCTCTGCCAAAGGCACGCAAGCCCCAGAGGCCAGTATGTGGTTTGGTGTGCTGTTCATCTTTGCTCCGTGGCCATATATGCTAGCTGTACACTCAGGGAATGCCAGATAAATCCACGACTGAGTGGCATTCTGGAGAAGCTGAAGGCTAATGAGGATGTGGGGTTGCCCACTGGGAGTGGGAGGCTGCTTCCGCCCAAGGTTCTTGAGAAGCAAGAAGGTCAGATAAGATTATAGTCTGACGTGAAAACACTTCAAGCCTAAACACATACCTATACAACCTATACGTAAAACCCAGTAAATCCCAGGTGCTGGAGAACTTGAAGAAGGTCTCCACGTTCCAGTGCGAGGCAATCCTGCCAAGCGATCAGTGCTCTATTTGCAAGCATTGTGGGATGAAGTGTGGTTTAAAATCTCGGGAGTGCCTTTTACTTTTAAGGTGGAGCAAAGATGATGATGATATCCCATTGCAGCAAGCAGAAGCAGATGCTGAAGCAGATGAACAGGAAACCCGGAAGTGCAAGAAAAACAAAGCTTCCGGTGCAAAGGCAACACGCAAGACTGCAAAGCAAAGCATCGCCGTGGACAGCAGCAAACCTGCTGACAATCAGTGCCTCTACAAGCCGGGGGCTTTTCAGGAGGAGCGCTTCAAGTTCATTCGCCGCATGAAGGAGAAGAAAGGCATTTCGTACAGTGAGGCTTCCGCTATGTGGAAGACTTCCAAGAAGAGAGCAACCCTTCTCTCGGGCTTGAGTGAGTCACAGATGAAGAAACGACGTTTCTGATTGTGTAAGATTCGCAAATTCGATGGGAGCACTATCGCTGGGTGGGGTATTCTGTGCCAGCGCATGCTGCCAAAAACAGACTTGCAATTCATGTCGGTCAGAAACTCTAGGGCACGTATGAGCGTCATCTTGGTTTGTTGTGTATCTGTCTTGCTCAGACAACCCAAGCAGTGTGAAGCATGGTTCCTGAACTGTTGCACTGGGGTGCCCCTTTGCAACTGATTACCGTGCTGCTCCTTCTCGGCTTTCACCAGAAGACGCTGCAGGATGAGGACCGTATGGGGACGTGGGTTGGGTAATTTCAGATGCCTGTATATCAGGGAGCCCCAATGTCCACGCAATCCCAAACCCTAAGCCCCTAAGCCCGAACCGAATTGTGTAAACTCAGACCCTGAGATTTCAAGTTCCATCGAGAAGAAAGACATAAGGAAACCCCTACGACCCGAATCCCCGATAGGTTCACGCTTTTGATGCCGGTGGTTTGGGGAGGTTTTTAGGGGTCTAGGGTTCCGGGTTATAACTCATAAGGGGCTTGAATACTATATGGGCTCGGATAGGCTTTTGCTAGTGCCAATAAGTTCAATCAAATGATTTAGACAGAATCCTCAACTCCAAACCCGAAACCCTAAACCCTAGCCACGAAACCCTATAAACCTATCCCTCCACCCGACACCCTAGAAGGCTCTACAAGGTTGCACGGCAAGGCACATTACCCATAACCTCTTAATCCTAAACCCTTAACCCGTGTCACACTGCAATGTTCCTTCCTCAACACTTATGCCATATTGTAAGTCACGGCCAATGAGAAATCTATGGCTGCCTGATAACCACCACCCTGCTCTGCCTCAGAGGACGTCGATTTTCTCCACCTCTTTGCCGGCGAGGATGAAGTGGGAAAGAGCCTCCGCGTGCTTTGACTAAGCTCTGGTCCTTGTTACGGGCGGTGTGAAAACTTTCTACTCATTATCGATTCCAAGGCCATCGGCTACCGTGGTGAATCAATGGAACTTGAGCATTGCCCGGTTCACATGGATTTGCTAAGTGCGGCTGGATATCTGATTCTTTGCTGCAACACAAGAATACCCATGAACTCTAGATTCGTTCCGACCCGCTTTCTGCTTCTGTGTAAGGACGGCATTGAATGAAGCTCGACGTTTGAGACGAGATACTGGTGTTGCTGTCATTGGTCTCATGTGCAACTCCTTCAGTATCATGTTCCTTGCCTTGTCTAGTCTCAATTGTAATAATTTGTGTCATGCACAAAAAGGCCACCAATGCTAGCTATGCTTAGCTTGCAAGGTCACGATCGACATCGGGCCGCACGGTCATCACGCCGGAGGGCAACAATGGCTATGGTTTTGTGCACAGTGGCAATGTTTTTGCTTCTCGAATGTGCTTGCTTCTGTTCATCTTTTATTGGCGAAATGTTCGGTATCTGCTGGAGCAACCGGCGCAATCCTGTTTCATGGATAGCCCAGCCTTTGAATACGTTTGCCGGAGGTGTCCAGCTGCATAGCTGCATACGAGTGTTGAGGGTTAGTGTCGCAGTCTTACAGATGCTTTTCATGGTTGTGTTGATGAACCCAGGTTTTTCGTGGCTTCTGGTACATGTGCCATTTCGGGGCCCCGTCTGTAAAAAGACACTTTGCAATCTCGAATGACTCCGGGATGGTGCAACACCTGGAATCTATCGCTGGCACTCTCGCCCAGAAAGACAAGGCTGCTCTTGTGAAGGTAAAGTTGTCTCGCCAGAATGCTTATGTATCAACGCACCCCAGTGCTGTTCGCCGCAATGAGAAAAGATTTACGGGTGAGCGAAAACTCCTGAAGCAGAGCCAGACACCAGACTACAAATTATGGGCTTTGTTATCCAGCCGTTATCGTTTCTCCTGACTTTCTCCTTTGTGTGTTCGCCCACCTAAGGACATACCCGCCGAAGTTTGCGCAAACCATTGCAGCATATGTCCAACGTGAACCTGAGGTGCTGCTGCCCTGTGTATTGCTGCTGCTGCTACTGCTAGTGCAGTGCTTCGGCTAGTCTTGTTGTTCTTCTTGTTGGTGTTATTGTTGTTGTTGTTGTTGCTGCTGTTGTTGTTGTTGTTGCTGCTGATGTTGTTGCTGCTGTTGTTGTGGCCGTTGCTGTTTGCTGTGGATGTAGTAGCAGTAGCAGTAGCGGTAGTATAGTAGTAGTACTAGTAGTAATAGTAGTAGTAGTACTAGTAGTATAGTAGTAGTAGTAGTAGTAGTAGTAGTAGTAGTAGTAGTAGTAGTGGTAGTGGTAGTAGTAGTAGTAGTAGTAGTAGTAGTAGTAGTAGTAGTATGTTGTTGTCGTTGTTGTTGGTGTTGTTGCCTTTGCTGTTGCTGTTGCTGTTGCTGTTGCTGTTGCTGGTGCTGTTGCTGTTGCTGTTGCTGTCGCTGGTGCTGTTGCTGTTGTTGTTGTTGTTGTTGTTGTTCTTGGTGGCCTT